ATTAAAATATGTAATATTATTAAATATTAAACTATTCTTAATTCTCGGCAGAAGATTTGTAAGTTAATTATTTTTTCCAAATATTTTTCAAATTCAATTATGGTAGTTTATTAAGGCATTTTTTCACAATAGTATTTGAAGTGAACAGGCATCTTATAACCACATTGCTTGCACAGCAGTCACTGTGCATTAGTCAACGCATGAATATTAAATATGAAAAATGGATATTAGCAACTTGGAAGAAAACCCTGGAGATAATAACAGATGCTTCTATAAGAGATGATGAATCACTAATGCTATAAACAAAGAATGATATTATATGGATATAACACAGACATTGAGCTTGAATTGAAAGTGAGCCTAAATAGAGATTGAATGTTAAGTTGTTTTAGGAGCAACTCAGCCAATTTTTCTTTCAATGTATGTACAAGGGATATATATGTGTGTGTGTGTGTGTGTGTGTGTGTGTGTGTGTGTGTGTGTGTGTGTGTATACATATATACACATATACACAGGAGCACATGCACATATGGCTCATTTTGTCAGAATGAAAAATTCCAAATGATAAAAAATTGTACAATAATTAAACTGGCATATCTTTTTTCTTAGTAGCACATAAAATAATAGTGTATTTCATCTATTGCATCTCAGCTTCAATGAAACACCTTTCTGTTTAATAAAGACTGAATCAATTTTCAAAACAAATTATTTTTTCTTTTAATGTCCTCCATTAAAAGGTGATTTACATAATTGAATCAATAAAAGTACAAGGGTCAAACCTAAAAACCAAGTCTTTGATGCAAAGTAGTGATGGAAAGGCATATGCAAATTGATAAAATTTGAAATTAAAGCTGTGTCCTAATTGACCTGGGCTTTGATTTCATTGAGTCATTCACTTATTAGTTTGATACTGATGTTCCAAAATGGAGCATGATTTCTGGCTTATACTATTCAATATTTATTGCATATGTTAACTATATATGAATTAGGAACTAAATATCTTGGAGCATATGGCTGACATGGTTCCTGCTGATGATAATAAATTACACACAAAAAAAAAAGAAAAAAGAAAAAAGAAAAGCAGGAACAGTCTACTTCAGATAATAAAATGGTTACAGTTAACACAGTGCTCACTCTGTGCCTGGCTCTGTACTTCATGCTTTATACATGCTCTTAATCTTCAAACCAATTATATAAAGCAGATAACAGTATCATCTCCATTTTCTAGACAGAAAAACATGAGATTTTTGAGTAATTTTCCCAAGGTCAAATAGTAAGTAAGTGGGGACATGGGATGTGACTCAGATCCCTTTCTAAGAAGGTGTAATTTGAGACTTGACTGGTGAGAAGGTAAGGTATTGGTGGGAGAAATGCTAGATAAAGTCCTAAAGTGAGAAAGTAGTCCTTCAGTTTTTAAGAAATTTAAAGGCAGCTGGTGTACCTGGAGTACAGTTAGTGGGAGCAACAATGTCAGGAAACAGGACTGCAGAAAGCAGGTGCAAGGAGCTACAATTCGATTTGAAGTACAATAGGAACAACTAATTTTAAACTAGGTATTTAATCTGATTTGTTCTAAAAATATCTTTCCAGAAAATATGTGAAAAATAAATTGAAAAAAGAGTAAAAGAAGCAGAGTCCATGTCATTCAGCAATTGTTAGAAAGTTAAGGTAGTAGTTATTATTATAGCAGGTTCTGTTCTAAATACAGAAGATACAGCTAAAAACAATACAGACAAGGTCCTCTACTCCGGAGTACACATTAGAATGGTGAAAACACACACACACATAACTAGCCTCCCTTGCAATAGTAAAAATTTCTATTTCTCTACTATACATTTTCCACAGAATACAAATTTTAGTATCTCCATCTGTAAACAAATACCAAACAAAAAATATCTTTTGACTTCTTATTCTCCTCTAGCTACCATCTTATTTTTATATTTTTTTCAAGTAGAAAAACTTCTTTAAGGACTAACTTTGTGGTAGCATAGCCTCAAGTTACCTTCTCATTCCACTACAATCAAGTTCCTTCCTTTTACCCTACTTAAATTGCCCTTCTCAATGTCACCACACTATCGTCTCAAAGTTGAATTCTCATGTCTCTCCTCATCTAATCTTTCAGGAATATTAGTTCTGTGCCACAACACTCTGTCCTTGTCAATCTAATTAGGAAGCAATGTTGCATAGTGATTAAGAGCATATATTTCTAGACTTAGCTTTGAAGACAAGTTGTACAATGATGGGAAGAGAAATAGATGGATTTAGCTTTACTTTAGAGTAGAACCAAAATAGAGCTTTGGGATGAACATGGAGAATGAGGAAAAGGGAGAATAATGGTTTGTTCCTTGAGAAACTGGCACAATTATAGAGCTAGTCAATAAAGTCTTGGGTGGAAAAAAAGAAAAAGGTTTGAGAGAGAATAAAGTTTGTAACTCAATAAAAAGCTAGTGATCTCAAATATCTTAGCTAGATCTCATTTGATGCCTTTCCATTGAAATTAGTACGCGGGAGAGTGATTTACCAAAGTTATACAGACAATTGGTGATAGAACTGGAAAGAGAACATCATGTCTCCCAGAATCTCTGTAAGAAGCTATGAATCAGGATCGGACAAAATGACCATTACTCATAAACTGGCAAAGCCTCTATTATGTTCATCCTCCTCTTCTCCTGACCAATGCAATAAACAATTTTTAATATAGTTTTGGGTTTATGGAATCTAGTTAGGCAAGTTACTAACTGGTGCATTTATATTTCCTTTTAAAAAAGTGAAGGAGATAAAGACAAACTATATAAAAACAGTATTATCCCAGTGAGAATAATAAAATCTATTGTAAAAGTCAATTACTAGGCTGGGAGCAGTGATGAATACCTGTAATATCAACCATAAAAGAGATGTTTAAAGCAATATTTGAATAATTGACAAATGAATTCTATAAACAATATCTTTATTTTTTAATACTCTGGAGAAAGCCTTAAGAAAAGGCTTAAGCTAAGCCTTGAAGGACAAATTTAAAAAGTAAATAAGGAGGGTGATTAAATTAAATAAACTTACAAAGGGTGTTCACTAGAGTAGTAGGCTTGGGGCTGGGACTGAGGAGAATGAGCTATTCCAGACATTATCTTTGTATGACATTTGAGCCTAAATCATACAGAGGAACAAGGAATGTGATGTTGGTAAGAGAGAATTATATTATAGGTAGAAAAAAACTGTAAAAATAACTACTACATCACTTGTCCGTATATTGCACTAAATAAATCTTCTACAATTAGTTTAGTGGTAAAAGAAGGGAATATGAATTCCTAAACCTGAACTTAAATTATTTTGCAAATTCCTTTTGAGCTGTTTCTCCATCGTTAATAGTTATTAACAGAAGAACATGTAAGATAATGTACATAGATGTATTTTAGAAACAGAAAACATACAAAAATTATAAAAATCAGTTCAAAAGATAGGAAAGGAAATGATGCTTCATTTATAATGTATGATGCTTAGATACAAAAAGTGAAAATGAAAAACTGTATTATAATCGTTGCTGACGTAGATTTTAGTAGAGTACTTTTTTACTTTTCATATCTTCTTATTGAAGCTTTTTATGTGTGTCCTTCATCTGCTTTACTAGACAAAGCTCCCTGCAAGTGGTAAGCAGATCTTAAGCATAGCACCTGACAAAATCTCTTAGTATTAGCTAAATTGATATTTCAAGCCAACAATTCATCTTACTGTGCTCTGAGGCTCTCTCTCTCTCTCTCTCTCTCTCTCTCTCTCTCTCTCTCTCTCTCAGTGTGTGTGTGTGTGTGTGTGTGTGTGTGTGTGTTTTCAAAATTCCATTGCCTTGCACAGGATTCGAGGGGACTCATGATATTACAAAAACTTAATGGGGAAAAAGTACAGATGAAAAAAGGAATAAATTCTGCTTAAAGAAACAGAAGTAACAGGCAGGTAACTGTGGTAGTCAATACTGGGGGACATAGATGATATTTCCTGGCAGCCATAGGAAGAAGCGAATAGGCTGAATCCATTGTATGGCACTTAATCTACCATCAAGCGAGGTATTTACATTCATCTGCAGATACAACTTTTCTCTGTACCAAAATCCACAAGAACTTTGATCAGATGGGCTTTTTCTGTGTTACCAACAGCTTAAAGTCTTGGCGTATGCCTGTAATCTCAGTGACTGGGGAGGCTGAAGCGCAATTCACAGCCAGACTGGGTAATTTAGCAAGACCTTTTCACAAAATAAAAATTTTAAATGACTGGAGATGTAGTTTAGTGGTACAGCGTCCTTTCGTTCAATTCCCAGTACTGACGGAAAAAAAGTCATCAACAGTCTACATGGAACAACTATGGAAACAGACTATATCAATGTGACTCTTTATAAAGCCTGAGGGGAAAAAGTGAGCAAAGGCACAGAGTAAACCTGAAGGGCCGCTGAAGTTATTTACTTGATTTTTTGTGGCTGTTAGAGAGATCAAGGACCTCTGTCAAGATGAAATCACTGATGATTCAACATCGGAATCCCGTTTTCTCCCTATAATTCTAGCTCAGGCGTGGCAACTGCAAAATAGCACCTGGTTGCTAAGCGCCGCAATGAAGGGTCAGCATTAGCCCAGCAGCTGGCTGACAGCCTTGGATTCAGGCGGGGCCCGCGCTCGCGCCAGCGCTGAGGACAGTATCTTAGCCCGGCTTTCGATGGCAGCTTTCAGGTGGGCAGCTGATAGGGGTACGGAATGTCTAGGTGAGGGTAGGTTTTCTACTGATAGATGAGGCTGGGGGCAAGACAAGGAGGCAACTCAGAGCCACCGCGTTGCACAACTCCAGGGATATCTAGATAATCCCTTCTAGCCAGAAAACCCTCTCCCTCCCCAAAATACAAAGGGGCGACAGAAGCCGCTGAAGGTAAGGAAAGCCTCTTTTCTGTGGGTCGTACGAGGTAACCCCGACCCCAGGAATGAGGAACTGACATCCCACTCCTCCCTCAGACCCAGGAGCTCACCCACCTGCAACTGCAGTCTCTGAAGTCTCCACCCAAGTCTCCCTGCTTCCAGAGCGCTGATTGCGATTGGCTTGCACCGCTGTCTGGTTAGTATTTCCCTACGCGTGAATGGCGTAACTGTAGGGCTCTTGGCCTTGGTCCCTCCCTTCGCTCGCCCGCGGGTGTCACGCCTACGTGACGTCACACGATGCCGCAAAGCGCAGAGGTCGTTGGTGTAACCGCCCCCGACCGCTATCTCCAAGTGGAGACCGCCGAATTTGGGGCGGGGCAGGGAGCGCTCTGGGAGAGCTACGTGCGTGTTGACGCCGCACGGCGCCCCGCCTTCTACGCACAGACGCCGAGAAGAAGGGGGTGTGGCCACGCTAGCGTCCGCGCCATCAGGCCTGAGGTGGCGGTGATACCCGTGTTCAGTGTATGGTTTTCCCAGCCAAACGGTTCTGCTTGGTGCCATCCATGGAGGGCGTGCGTTGGGCCTTTTCCTGTGGCACTTGGCTGCCGAGCCGTGCAGAATGGCTGCTGGCGGTGCGATCGATCCAGCCCGAGGAGAAGGAGCGCATTGGCCAGTTCGTCTTTGCCCGGGATGCTAAGGCAGCCATGGTAGTACAGGTCTTTGGTATTTAAAGCCAAGAAAGCAGATGTTGGGGGAGGTGGGTTGGCTTGGGCTGTGGAGACCATCCTCCCTCCGTAATGTGGATCTTTGAGCTCTAGAACACTTGTGGACCGCCCTGGGTAAGAGTGGTTGGCGCTGCGGAGTCTCGGTCAGGCTCTCGGCCTGGTCTCTAAAGTCTTTGTAACCTCCTGGGAGGCCTCGATCGCTGTAAAAATTAGCTCCTCCTCCATGCAATTGAAAATAGAAACCCCCACCAAATCATAAAATAAGTGTAGGGAAAACCTACAGAGTAATAGTGGGGTTTTTTTTTTTAACTGTAGTGAATTGTTTTTGTATGAATCTTTTACGTGGTAGCAAATTGTATTTTTTTTTCTTTGCTGGATTCATAGGCCATGCTAATCTGCCTTTTACATAGCCCACCAGTGTCCCAGGGGCATCTTGCACATGCTCAGAAAGTATTGACAATACGACTTAGCTTGTTTGTATCCTTGCGTACCATGGGACCGTAAGAGGCCTAGGCCAGTTGTCCGTTATCAATGAAACCGAAGTCCAGGGAGGATGCAATCTTGGGGAACAGTATTTGTAATAGATGTATTATGTTTGTATTTTTATAGCAAAATATGGCAAATTAGATTTCAAAATAAATTACTGTGTAGCATAGTTTAAGCAACCTTTAATTACCATCACTTCATAGACATTCGTTTCTTGAAAATGTCTCAATATTTAAACACTGAAATATGGGCCAGTTAGTTGATACTTTTATGAGGGCAAATTGGTGAATATTTTGTAATAATTTGTAAGAAACTGGAAGTGAATTTGAAAGTCCTGCAGTCAGTGTTGAAATTGATGAAGGAAAAAGTCCTGAAGGAGTTTTAAAAAATATTTTAAACCTTGTCATACTCGTGTGTGTGTGTGTGTGTGTGTGTGTGTGTTTGTCTTAATAAAGGAAGTGTGAGACTGGAACAAGATAGGTTATGCCTTACTGATTTTTGAAGCTGAATGATCAATGCATAGAATCTGGAAATACTTGCATATATGTACGAATGTAGATAGAGGAGGGTTGCTTGGTTTGGAATTTTATAACAGCAAATCTACAATACTCATAATAACCTAACATGTTCAGTAATAGGGGAATGCCCAATACTCTATGGAACCTCAATACTATGAAGTATGCTACATACTGGACTGATATGGATAGACATGAAATAATCCCCAGTACTTAAAAAGTTAGTAAGTTGTAGAATACTGCATAGTATGATTTCATATGTGTTTATATAGCAAGAGTTAGCAAAAACATGTAGAAGTACATATATTTAAATACTTAAAGAGAAGTCTGGATTGATACCTGCTGTTAATGTTGCTTGTGGGGTTAGGGAAGAAATTGCTAAGCAAAATGGTATTCTTCTATGTACGTAATAATTACTTGATAGCAGTGCATCATATTTTAATATTTATATACTTCCAAAACTTGAAAATTTCAGAAGCCACAAAAATGTATATTTTATGCCTAATGTTTAGAAGACATCAATACATATCAAATGTTTTATGTACTTAACAGGCTGGTCGTCTGATGATAAGGAAATTAGTTGCAGAGAAATTGAATATCCCTTGGAATCATATCCGTTTGCAAAGAACTGCAAAAGGAAAACCAGTCCTTGCAAAGGACTCATTGAATCCTTACCCTAATTTCAACTTTAACATCTCTCATCAAGGGGACTATGCAGTGCTTGCTGCTGAACCTGAGCTACAAGTTGGAATTGATATAATGAAGACTAGTTTTCCAGGTAATGTTGTATTTTTGTGGTATAGAAGTTAAGTATTTTGATGTCTCAGCTCTTAATTGTTTAGTAATCCAGCAGTCCGGGAAATGTATCAGATATTTAAGTTTAGGAAAAAATGGATCTAATATGCGAAGAGAGAGTATATACATGAAAAGGATGTATTTCCTTTTATGTTAACAAACTTCTACTAAAAGCATACATTCTCCATTACTGGGGATCCATGTAATACTTTGCTTAGAAGCAAAGTGAAATTATTTTCTTTTTGAATTATACATCAACTGTTTCACCTAAGCATTTTTCAGAGTTCATCAGTTATTTAAAAGAATAGTCTCAGTGGTAAAATATTGTAGTTCTTAGATGGAGATGACATATTTGTGTTATATATAAATACAATTCTTTGTTTAGCACATTTATTTTTTATTTTATTTTTTTAAAGAGAGAAAGAATTTTTTTTTAATATTTATTTTTAGTTTTCGGCGGACACATCATCTTTGTATGTGGTGCTGAGGATCGAACCCGGGCAGTGCGCACGCCTCTACCGCTTGAGCCACATCCCCAGCCCATGTTTGGCACATTTATATAAGTAAAAATGATGAGTAGGCCCTATTGAAATATTTGTTTCTTGTATATTGCCTTAAAAAGTTGTTATCAGTAGCTTTAGGAGCTGCTGAGTAAACTGGGGTTGAGTAAACTCAGGCACTTTTTTAAAAAAAATTTCTTCTTTTTTTGGTACTGGGGATTGAATCCAGGGGCACTTAACTACTGAGCCCCATACTAGCTTTTTTATTTAGAGACAGGGTTTCACTGAGTTGCTTAGGGCCTTGCTAAATTGCTGAGGCTGACTTTGAACTCATGATCCTCCTGACAGCCTCTTGAGCAGCTGGCATTAAGGCATGCTCAGCCTCAGGCACTTTTAATATGTACTGTGTGCAAGTTCTCAGCTACTACTCTATAATCATTAGCATCATTGATATTAAGTGAGTAGTTACTATGTGAGGCAGCATTTCACTAAGTTCTTTACATATATTCTCTGAATTCTCTCAACTGTCCTATGATAAACATACTATTATTTTCATTAGAAGATAATAGGTTAAGAAGAAAACTACTGGGCTGGGGATGTGGCTCAAGCGGTAGCGCGCTCGCCTAGCATGCGTGCGGCCCGGGTTCGATCCTCAGCAGCACCACATACCAACAAAGATGTTGTGTCCGCCGAGAACTAAGAAAAAAAAAAAAAATAAATATTGAAATTCTCTCTCTCTCTCTCTCTCTCTCTCTCTCTCTGTCCCCCTCTCTCACTCTCTCTTTAAAAAAAAAAAAAAAAAAAAGAAGAAAACTACTGATAGGAGAACTCACAACTTCGTAATTTCATATTTGTACAACTGCCTAATCTACGTACTATCTCCACCTTAGGATCTTTGTTTATGTGGTTCTCTTTATCTAGAAGGCTTATATTAACCTTATTCCTTACCCCCATTTCTGCATAGATTACTCTTATTTACTGGTTAGATTTAACCTTACCTTTAAGGAAACGTTTATGAACTTTCACTCTCAAACAAGTTCTTTTGTTATAGGCAGTCATAAAATATGTTTTCTTTGTCCTATTATAATTATTCATCAGGATGATAGAGTTTCTTTCCTTTGGTGCTTTTAAGCTACATGAGAGCCAAAACCTTATTAACTATAACAGAGTTTGATCACTATCATATCTTCTTAATACCTTGCCTAGTACATAATAGTGCTCAATAAATATTTGTGATATGAATAAATAAGCACTGTGGTGCTGTAATTTCAGCTTCAGAGTATGATTGTGAATTTCATCTCACTTTTGCTTTGATTATCTTTATCTTGGAATTGCCCAACAGGACTCTCTCCTGCTTATAAATCTCAGGTGGCTCTATTAGTGATTATGAAACAGGATCTTGACATAGATTCCATGATGAAACGTAAGGGATAAACCTTCTCAAATTGGTAATTACATTTTGTATGAATGTGGACATATCTGTTTTTCTCAGTGTCTTAGTTTGATTTCTGTTGCTCTTACAGAATACCTGAGACCAGATGGTTTATTAAAAAAGAGGTTTATTTTGACTCATGGTTCTAAAGCTTGGGAAACCCAAGAATAAGAGAAGCCACTGGCAAGGGCCTTGTGCTGGTGCGATTTGAATTCATGGTGGAAAGTGGAAGGGTGCATGTGAAAAGAAGAAAACAGAAGCACCCTTACTTCAAAACATCCTGCTCTTGTTGACATAACCAATCCAGTCCCACAAGAGCAAAAATCCACTTACATAGTTCTGAGGTATTCAGAGGCATAGAAAGTTCATTATTAAGGGACCACTGCTGTAGAGGATTCAGAGTAATAATGGGGATAAGACCATATGTTTTTATAGCTTTGAACTGTCCTTACATGAGCTTTTCTTAACATCAGAAATTAGTGGAGAGGCCCTTAATCTTTAGAATGCGTTTTGCAAAACTACACAGTGGTGATTGGCCCAGCGAGATGATGTATCTGCCAGGAAATGATGCCTATAAGAAACAGATTTTATTACTAATTGACTTGATATGCAGGATTGGCTTATGGTCAATACTGGATAAATAAAGAATTACTAATTCAAGCTTTTAATAGATGATTGGAAGATAGTTGAACAGAAATTGGAGATTCAGTTTCCAATTAATGTTTCGTTTGACCTTTCGTTCCCTTGTAGCTTTTTTGATTGATCTTGACTAATAACAATATGTTGACCTATTCCTTAAGATTATTATTCATTATTATTTTTATTATTTTATTTGTTTTTCTTAAGATTATTTCATTGTCAAAAAGCTGCTA